AAGAGTAACTACAGCCTGTAAATTCTCTTTTGTTTGAATTGAAAGAGCAAAAGTAATCCTATACATTTATTTAGTGTTTTAAGTGCTGGAAGAACTATTCAATTGTTGTCGTTGCTATGTGCTGTAAAAGTTGGCGCTGTAAATCTGACATTAGTTTTGCCATACAAATAATTTTTACACACTTTTTATACAAAAGCTACTAAAAATGTAAATTTTTGTATGGGAGCCATACCTATATGATATCGTAATCATGTGAAAATTTACAGAGGTCATTTTTTCACAAAAAGCTAACATTCTGAAAGTTTGAAGAAATTTCAATGAATATTAGGGGTACTTCCCATATAAAATTTCGTTTTCGAGCAAAAAATCCAAAATTTTGTTCGGGAGGTACCCATAATATGCATTGAAATGTCTTCAAACTCCCGGAATGTTATTTATGTGTGATAAAAATAACCTGTGCAAAGTTTCAGCTCATTACGATATCATACAGACATGGCTTCCATTTGAAAATCGATTTTTTTGAAATTTTCGTATGAAAAGTGTGTCGAAAATTATTTGTATCGCAAAACTAACGTCATATTCGGTTTTCACGTACTCAAAAACCTCCTAATAGATATTCTTGAGTGTTTAAGAATACATTAAATATCACTTTTGGAAGAAAAATGACACTTTACTCTACACACCAGACATGACACTTTACTCTATCAACCAAAGTCTCTCAAAATCTAATGGTTTTTATTCCTCGGCAACCCCAATCATCCCGTGAAGTCAGATTTTGAATTACTTTTCTTGTTTAATTATCGTGTTAACAAAGTTTTGCGTACAGGGTACAGGGTACGCACATACATTCGGACATCGATAAAACGCTAGATTCGTGTTCCCTGGCCCAAAAAACACCCAGAAAACACATTTTTGATGGGTGTTAATTTTTTTACCGATTCCAATACTTTACCTTACACACTAGGTGTGTGCGGAAAAGTAAAACTGGTCAACAAGTTATTTTAATATGCCGTATAGCAGCGCTGAATAAAAGTAAAATGCTACTTTAAACTGACAATGCCTTTTAAATATTAAATCGCCAAAAATTGAATATATTTATTGAAGTTTATTGTAGTTCTGATTTGTAGAGGTCTGTACTGAATGTGTACCATAAACATATACATTTTATTGATTCTTTAATTAACTTTTAAGTTGGTATTTATGGTCTCCATTCTAATTCAACAATAAATGATCGAATTTCCATTGGCTTTAATGTGATTGTCAAATCATTTTCATTATTTTCAATGGCACGATGGTGCGTTAATCTGTTGGCTCTTTTATAATATTGTCTCGGCGAAATATCTGGGTTAATATTCAATTTAGCTTGTACTGTGAATGTCTCCGCGGTTGAATTGAGGGCATTGAAATCTTCGGTCTTTCCTTGGAAATGAAGACGTTTGGTTTCGTTTAACCATTGATTGGCCGACAATGTCGTCTCACGAATTGAAACCACATCAAATGACCGAAATACATCTTGAAAATTGAACGTTACAGCTTGTGAGTATTGATTGTCTTCATCTTTTGCTAGAATATGTTCGAAACGAATTAAAATCGATTCAGCTTTCCATGGTTCAAACGTCAGCAGGTGAATGTTTTTGGGCAATGAAAGTGACAATCCGGAGTACTGAAATAGAAACGAATTGATCAATTACTATTGGTATTTGGATAAATGATCTTTAAAAGAACTTACAATATTTTTATATGAATCCTTCCATACATTGTAGCTTAATTGACTCACATTACTGAAGAGCAACCAGCTCGGCAACAGCGTTTGCAATTGAATGAAACGTTCATTAGCTTCAGTAGATGTTTTCTCCGTGTGTCTTTTCGGACCAAAAACAAAATAACTGGTACCTCGTGCAATTAATCCTTTTCCAAATGCCGTTTCATTTAATGCTTCTCCCACTCCAAAAGCATCATCATGCAATAATCGCCGATGAACCTAGTCATTCAGTAATGATAATCATTTTCTATATAGTATTCCATTAATTCTGATTGGCAAATAATATTTATTTCTGACAAAAAAAATACCATTAACTCAATTGATCCATCAGTTAAACTGCTTCCACCTTGTGAACGGTCAGTTAAAATAGCGAAACGACGACTCGTGTCTTCAATGGCAATTTTCGCTGTTACCGGATAATAATTTCCAGATGTTGTTTCCAACAGCGTTAAATTCCATGTGTCACGATGATTGCGTACTCGTTTCAACATTTCTCTTCCATTTGAATCGCTATAGAAAATTCCATTTGACTTGATGTCTGTGTCGAATCTCATGATAATTTCACGTCCAATTTTATCGTCGACAGGAATTGGGCCGACCAGCCATTGGAATTCAGCATAATTTTCGTTTTTATAAATTCGAATCACTTGACTTATCCATTCATTGAAAGTCTACAAGAAATGAAATAAAAACGAAATTACAATAGCACACAAAAAAGTGTTGCTTCTCTTCGAAAGAATAAAAAAGTACTCTCTCCTTACACACACTAAGTGTGTGCGGAAAAGTAACATTGAATGAAATCAAAGCAAAATCAATAAAAATAACCTGATGGACTTCATCGACCAAATCTCCCTTGACAACATGAATTTGAGCACGCTGAACAATTTCCAAAGCTTGACTGTCGCTGGGCCTAAATATGTACGCTCCCGATGATCGGTTTTTAAATTCCTCATTATCGCCAATGAATCCTTCGTAGAGATAGAAATTTTGTCGAACTTTCATTTGAACGTCTTCAGTTGCAGCTGATTGCAGTAAACCATTTTCATCAAATGTTAAATTCAAATACTCATTTCCGATTGTGAGTGGAACGCTTTCTTCTCGACCAACTAGCGGATCATCACTCATGAATTCAGTTTTGTGTGAAACTAACATCACAACCGGATCAATCGAGTTAGTGGCGATTTTTTTGCTTGCTTTTTTCTGAACGAAATACGACTTGTAACCGAGTGGTGGCAATTCACTGGCCAAGAAAATGAGCTCCGAATTAGCTTTACTTTGTCGGAACGATAATGATTGAACTTCATTCGGAATTGAGACCAATTGGGAATTGACTAAAACATTTCTATAATCTAACACTTCATAGTCGCCGTCGGTGACCGGAACACGAACATATTGAAGCGTTGAGTGTGTTAATGGATTGTAAAGCGTCACCGTGAATTTATCATTATTTTCGGTAATATAACATGAACTTATGTTTAAATCAGCACAACTTTCATATTCAAACCGGAATTTCGGATCGAATCCTTTTTCATCTTTCAACATTTCCGAATTTTTATCATCAATGCTTAATTGATTTAGTGATTCTTGAATATTTTCGCCACATTTATCAAATCCAATGTGCAATAAACGCGCGTAATCGTTGGCAACATGTTGTTTTTCAGTGCCGGTTACGGCATCGTGATGCTGCATTACACCCATTACCTAAGAGTTGATCAGAAGAAAAGAATGAAAAAAATGGAAATTAATCAATGCGTAATGGATCGGAATGGAAAATGAAACTATAGATGAAAGAATATACTTTATAGTTAAGTAAAGTAAATACTTATAAAATCAATGACCACAACAACAACATTGCTTTAATTTGGGATTTCATTGTAGCAGTAGTAGTGTTGAGATCGTGAATACCCATTACCTCACGCATGTTATTCAGATTTTCCTCGAATTTTTTCGACTTTTTTACTGCCAAAACGCTTAGTTGTTTACACACTTGTAAATAATGATTTCCAACACGTTCATATCGCTTCAACGTTGGCCTCGAGGTGAAGTAACCTGTCCAAAACGAGTGCGGATCGGATGCATATGGGAAGAAATCATCACTTTTGGTTGGCCATGCTATATTGGTATCGTACAGCGCCTTCAAATAACAAGATGGAGTCGAATAAAAGGCATTCACTTTCAATCCACTGAGTTGACGCTCGTTGATATGCCTAAAAAATATCAATTGATTTAATAACATATAGCCTGTACGCTTATAAAAACGTATATTTTTGGAGCCAGACAGAATGTATTAGTAAAGTGTCAATGGAATACCGGAAAAGGGAAATTAGTATGGGAAAGAGAATTAGTTCGTCAAGGCCTGTTTTAATTACAAACATTAAATGTAAAACCGAAAATATTCTAATGCAAATGAAGTTCTGAGACCAATCAGCAATGACTGTGAAATTAACAAATACAATTTAAATGTGCAAAGAATTTTAAAATATATTGTTGGCATTTAATGTGTCAGATAAGAATCAGTTCATTTGTCTGCTATGAATTCCATTTCCGTTTTGTTAAGTTTTTGTTAGTTTTATTTTCAGGACGATTCCCATAGATAGCAACACAACACTAATTACACTAAATATTGTACGTTATTCATTTATTGAGAGAAAAAAACTCACAAAATCAATTTGTCTAAATTGTTGTACCACATATCTGCCGATTGGTAATTGAAGTCATCGCCCATCGTAATCAAAACATTATTCGAACGATACTTCGATTGAACCAATTGAAGGTAAACAAGAAGTGCATTAACCTGTGTCAATAGAATAACATATGTGTTTTTGGATGTGGGTGCAATAGACGGGATTCTTTTATATATAGAAGTGAGTCATTCGCTCGAATAGTTCAATATGAAACGAAAAAAAGAAAACTAAAAACCAACAACCATAAAGCAATTGCACAAGCGTCCACCAAATCAAACATGGTGACAATGGCGTATGGAGATGGGGATGAATGAAATTGGTTTTCTTCGATTATTATGGCAAACAGATCTGGCTATCCATACGTTGACACGTGTTTTTCTACTCTCACCTAATCAAGCGATCCAAGCTTGCATAATACAGTTCAGCATATTCGTATGTGAAGTCACCTCCCATCGTAATAATGACATTATTCGTACGTGTGGTATTAGCTTGTTTGCCAATGTAATCGATAAATGCTTTCAACTATGTGTTTGGTTTAATCGAGCGAGAAAAAAATTATTATCGTTTTTTACGCTCATATGTGAACATAATGTCAAGAATTTTAGAAAATTTAAAAATATGAGCTAAATGAAAAGTGAATGCAAATGAAACTACCTTTCGGTCAACATTATATTCTGGGCTATTTTTATCATCAACGATTGGATCTACAAAGAATTTATAATAAAATTGAAAAATAGAAACAAAAATTAAAATTATAAATTATTATACCATCCGAACACAAAATATCAAAGCAAAAACCAGGTGGTGGGCTGTATGTATTGAACAAGACTCCCGTGAATAAGTCAGCTTTTGATCCTAAGCTATCACTTGAATGCCAAACCATTTCCGCCGTACGTTTCGTAAATCGATTAATTTTATCTTGGTAATCAATACGTCCCAGAAACAATCCATCATATCCCATTTGCGCCAACAAAGATGCCTTGAATCATTGAAATAGAATTGTTGTGTTATTTATTTAGTTGACACAGTCGGTGTATTCATTTTCATACCAATTCCCTTGAATGACCAAATGGATCGATTTGCCAGCCAATTTTCGGTCGGCCACATTCACCGAATATATCTTTCAATTTCCTGATTATTGTCAAAATCAACACAACTTTTATTAATTTTCTACGATTCAATCACGCCCATACACTGTCAAAAATATACAATACCGTAATCCCCAAGTGAATTGGTCCACAGTGCTTTGATAATGTGTCGTTGCTTCATCATTCATGCTCCATGCGCCACCGATAAATTCCAGTCGTCCTTCGTTTACCAATTGTTTTACTTGTTCTTTCATCTGTTCAGTTTGATGAGCCCACCATTTGAAGAAAAACGCCGATTCAACGTAAATAAATCGTCTTTCGGGGTCTTTTAACAACGACGCTATCACCGAATCCAGAATACTCTGTACACTGGCCTTTTGGTATCTTATTTTATTGCCGTAATAGTATTGATCGACTGTTTTTAGCCATCCGACATCATCGTGAGTGTGAGCCACAATGTGAACATTTAACATGTCAGACTTTGGTTTTGGGCATCCCTATACAAAAATATACACGTTTATAGCATTTTCATTTCAAATTATTAACTGACATCAAAATGAGTGATCTGGTAACATTTGAATAAAAACATTGAAGGTAAAACTTGAACATAAACTGCATTAAGAGTAATTTAGGTACTTTTAGGCCCCATTTAGGCATAAACCATGGGAATTATCAACACTTTGTATTCACATCGCAATAAACACAATTATACATGAAGTAAATAGATTTGTTCAATTTGTGAGTAAAATTATAATGAATTTTAATTTTTTGTTATATCAAAATGAAATCATATTTATTATCATTAAATTTATCTGGCTTTCTCAATCAGCATCATTTCAACAAAAATAAAATCATTACATAAATTGCACCAATTATGATTGACGTACTCTTTATTTTTGGCACTGAAAAAATGCCATAGAAAGGGTGAGGCAGCTTTGGGCTTATGTAAAAGTAATTTATATATTTCACAAACTCATAAATTCTGAATTTGAAACAAGTGTTGCTTTCATTCTCACTCACAAATGATTAATTGTATTAATTTAATTATCGTAATGATAAAATTTAAAATTCAATTGATCATTGTTATTCATACCTATAAAAAAATATTGCACATATGTTGATATATTGACTTCAATTACATACCACTATAATGTTATCTGTTGTTGCTCTCTTCATGAATTACAAAAGTGGTGCAAAGTTTAAAAGCAATCAGTTATTTATAGTTCACTTTACTCCGACACACAAGAAAATGTCCAAGTACTTTAATCAATAGACTTTGTTCAAGATTGTTGTTTAAAAATTGTATATAAATTGTGTATTTGTAATATTAAATGATTTGAAAAATTATATTTCCAAAAAAATTATTTCAAAATATTTATAAATAATCTTGCCTCTTTTGGATTATTGGATTTGAACGGGGAGTATAATAGATCCACTTTTCAGTAAATCCATAGTTTCTCGTTGCTCAGGTTTTTTAACCTATTGTGTGTCTAATGCACCCGTTTGTGTGTCTAATGCACACCAATAAGTAGTTGCCTCTTATGTATACTTTGCAGTTTTTTTTAATGAATTGAAACACTCAAATTGACTTACTGTCATAAAAAATGAATTATATGATTGATCACACTCACATCGTATCCACATTTTCTCTCTTGTTTGTTGACTCGTCGGAATTTCGATGCGGCATCCAATTCACCGCAAATCAATATAAACAACAAAATCCCGACACATAGCCGTTGTAATGACAGCCGCATTTTTCGCAGTCCCTTTCATGCAAATACAATCAAACGAAATAGTAGGTGGCACACGTTTTTAAAACTTTCTATCGTTAAAATTGACTTCTATCGCTGATAATGTCCATAAAATATAAAATTATGATTGTGCAAATGAAATAATAGCGATTGTCGAAATTGAACACGCTACACTATACTCATGACCGCGCTGTAGAACAATAACTAATCGACTACTTGATGATATAGAATAAATCGGTATTCATGCTAAGCGAAATTCTTTATCAACTAAGTGAGATGAGAACGAAGAGGCAATTATATTTTTCTCTTTTCTTCGTCTGTTTTCTATAAACACAAAATACACACACACACACAATAAGGAGACATGTTTTCTTTTTCACTTGAATTCATGACGTGCTCACTTTAAACAATCATTTCTGTCGCGTCTCGACCGAGTTTGTGTATTTGTTTTACTCAACTGTTCGTGCTATTGCTTCTGCACACAAGTAAGCATTGTGTCGCATACTACACATAAAAATATTAAATTATGTTGTCGTTTGTTTGTTGAGCGTTTTTATGCGATCAGTAAGGTACAATGCATCGATAGAAAGAGGAACAAGTTCTAAATTCTTCAACTGATTGTAATTGTTTGGTGTCAGTCGCAAAATTCACATAATTCTAGAAAATCTTCGTTAATTGATTTTTGAGGAAAAAAAATTGAGGAGCTGTCTTTCTCTTGTAATAAATCATCAATTTCAATATTCTCAGTTAATGTTTCACTTGGATCCAGATAATGGGAGACAAAGTTCATTGACATCATTCTTATTTAAAATTTGCACACGAATTCGTGTCAAAATATACCGTATTATCATTTTTGCTATGATATGATTACTTACTTTTCGTACGTTATTTTCATCGTTTTAACGTCGATTTCAATTCATACCAACGTTTGCAATAAACGATTGGATTACTTTTCCAAAGACTCTCGTTTCCTATTGAACATTTTTATTTTCTAACTTTTTTTTTATATTTCTTCATACCATATTTAAAATATTAGAGCATCGATAGTGATTAAATGATGAAGTACAAAGTAATTCAATTGCATTCTAAGAGTTATCATTCTTTGACGTCGTTTCCATGTTGTGAAACTATGTTGCACTTGTGGTTTATGCTCTTAACGAATCACCAATCGACCATACAAATAAAAAACGACAATAGGAATTCGTGGTTAAAGTAAATAGATAAATGGAACATCTAAGAATATTGTACATTTCATTTTTCTTATCTACCATTGTGCGTGCCATATTTGCCGACATAACATACGTATGCTGCCTTTAAAAAACCATTCACCGATGTTGCCACTTCTTTTCCTTTTAAATTTAGAAACATAAGCACTGAAAGCAAATAGAGAACAAAAAACAAACAAATAGAAAACAAAATGGATCTTACAAAATTCAATACACTTACGAACACATAGCAAGAGTGCTCCAAAACATCTATATTCGATAAGAGTTCAGAAACAAGTGGAATTTTTTGAAACGTAAAAAAATGACACCAAAATTGATTTATTGAATTCATTTAAGGTATAATTTCTTTATTCTAGTCAAATGTCGAACATTTTTCCTTTTAAATACTAAAACTAACTGACTATTTTAATAAAAACTAAAGTGATGAGTGTGAAGAGCAATAGCGCAAAAATCACAGCCATCATTATCACCAAAATTGTTTGCCCATCGTATGAAGCACCTTGCCCCGAATCACTGGTACTTAATAAAGATTTTGTACTGCATACTGATGTTGTGTGCGATCTGAAATTGGAAAATTGATCAAATCATCAAATTGTGCTATCCTTATTACTTTGCTACAGTGTTTATTAAAGGTATATTTACCTTAGACCATTGGCCACAATAATTGTATGTAAATCATCGCATTTCTGTGCCAATTTACTTTGATCAATCCCTTCCTCGATTGTGTACAGATTATTTGGTTGAAGAAAAACCGGTGACTTCTTTTCATCAGCCGTTGTCAGTCCGTATGGTCCAAATGGAATGGTGCACACTTGTGGATCGATATTCGGAAATTCATGTTCAACAAATTTGTCAGCAAATTGATTTTGAGTTATTGTGTGTGTCGTTATATAAAACATTGCATCTCCTGTTTTCAGCTCTTATGACTTCAGACGAATTTTCAGTCGAATTAGATAGAAAATCACCTTTATGCGTTGCATTTATTTTCAATCAAATTGATTTAATGACGGATTTTCACACCTTTTTCGATAAAATAAAATTTAACTACTCAAATTGATCGGAGAGTGAGGGAGTGATCGACCGTTCACGATTTATCGCACTTCTTTTCTGATCGCGTAATAATGGGAATTCCATTATTATGGGAATTCCTCTCTGTAATCTATAGATATTTCAGAAGCTTATCAGCAAACTCATTAAATTTGAAGATTGTCAACAAAAAAATGTTATCGGTTTGATTGCGAATCTGCTATCTCTTTCAATCTGGAGTTGTGTACGTGCGTTTTGCACACATACCACAATTAATAAAGGGTTTTTTTCAAAATCGAATTTTGTTCATGTACTATTTTTATTTTCAATAAGTCACCGTGACGAATCAATTATCATTTTGGATAAGAAAAACACAAATTCAAAAGCAAACACAACGAACCGATCTAAATGAACAAAACCAGGAAGCGCAAAAATGTGTTCAATGATTTCGATAACGAGATGTCACCGAACATAAAATTCTGGTGACTTCTGCGAAAACAAACTGTTTAAATTTGATTTTTATTTATGATTGATCTGGATAAATAAACAAATCAATTCAATTCTGTGGTGATAATTACGTGAGTTTGTCGATGACATTCAATTATGGCTCTAAAGTATGGGCCGAAAACTTTCCTATACCGCCATCTATTGCAAATTGCTTAGTGTGTGCTTTGAAAGCAGTTAAAATGAGTAGTTTAAAAAAAATATATTTACAATTTATTTGATATATAAGACGATGGATAACATTTAAAATTTACAATAAAATAAGAAGAAATTGAAACATTGAAAATATCATGGATTTTCAGCATTTAAAAAAAGTTGATAGGCGTTATATGATTCTCGTGTTTTTTGTACATATTTTGTAAAGTGTCGTGGATAAAACTTTGGATCTAGATCGAATACAGATGCGCTCACGATGAATTGTTGATCATTTAAATTAACAACAGCGTACTCATTATTTCTGAAAATAAAATATTACAATTATATCGTCGCTACTTTTGATAAATTGTAATAATCTCAAATTACCCTGAATTATCATTAGTTTGTTGGTCAATACATTGAAATGTTAACATAATAGATGAGTCTAGCGCAGTTGCTCCAATCTCGTACATTTGTTCGTCGCTCAAATTGTATGTGGTTTTTAAATATTCATAATCAATTATATTATCGATATTTTCATCGGCCATATCGAGTTTCTGACATAATTTTGATACATGCGAGTGTGACCACTGAACATTTTTGATTAAATCGACCCATACATTGGCGTCATCCAAATATTTTTGTGCGATATACGGAATTGTTTTCTATTTTATAATAAAATCATTATTTTATTTCGTTATTAGTTTTCATCGATTCCATTTTATGTAATGAAATAATTTACCTTAGCAAGTAATTGTAGATCTAGCACACGTTTCAGTATTGAGCGATTTGGTAAATGAGATGAGGTAATTGCCGTGCATTGTTGTTCTGTTGTTTCTAAGAACGATATTGGCTCCTCTGATTTCTAGAAGAATTTTTTTTTTCGTTTTTATCTTTTGTTTTATGTTTGGTAATTTGTTGTCTACTTACATTCACTTCAGAAGAACGCTTATTAAGCATTTCGTCGAAGTCATGCAGCAAAATATTTACCAACAGTGAAATGAAATCATTCTCGATATTTCTGTGGACGAAAATAAATTTGTAGTCTCTCAAGTATTTCTTTCAAGTATTTCTTCCTTTTAGGGTGTAGTGACATTATATCGAGATATTTTCAGCCAGATTAATCAGCTCAGGCAATTAATGTCAGGTGCTGGAATAATAGAAGTGCAGAGGCGTCCACAGTATTTGGTTTAAGGGGGGGGGGGGGGGGGTGGTTCACTTTTTCAGTGAAAATCCCTAGCAAATGCGAATAACTTTCCATCTTCAAAAAAGTGGGCATTTCATCTTTAGGGAGGCAACCGCCCCCTGCTCGTGGACGCCCCTGTTAAACACTTCCATTCTTACATACAATATAACAGCAATCACTTCTATTGTTTTCACTCCACCTCATCTCCTGACGATAGCAGACTGAGCTGATTCAGCTGGCTGAAAATATCTCAATATAATGTCTGTTAGTGTATTACAAATTATTGTTGCCAAAGTATGGGGATAAGATGGATTGTAAATCGTGCTCTTGATTAATATCGGAATATATAAGATGTCCGTTACAAAAAACTCGGAAATTATTTTGAGGAGACTCAATTAAGCCAGATATAGCTTTTTTCATGCGTGCCTTGTCACTGTGCGAAACAAAGAAAAAGAATGGTTGAATAAATATGTCCATCGTACAAACGACAGATTTAGATTTATAAGCTGTATATTTACCCAGAAAATAGATCCAACGGACAATATTTGCTGAGCCGTTTTACATTACGCCCATTAACCTGTTCAGAAAATAAACAATTATCTTGAGACTTAGAACATAAAATGTCATTTTAAAAATAATAACACCCACCTTCTGATGTTGCATAGCACAATATCGACATTTATTCCGTAAACCAAGGCCAATCTGAAATAACTCAAGCAGCCACTCCGATAATTCCGTGCAAATATTCCATCCTTACCATTGATAAGAGAGAATAATAAATTAATTTTTGGAAAATTAAGGTGAAATCAAAATGACTCAACGTATCCTAGCAAAGTTACTTTCGATCAAGATAATTATTTCAGTTCAACAAGTAAACAGTTAAAAAAGTAGATACCTTGCTTTGGTTTGATTTCAACAGCTAACAACGCAGCATCGCAATATGTTCGAAACCACGGCATCGAACTTTCCAAATTTAAATTTAGGCTACAAGCGTCGTGATAAAGTAAACCATAATCAAAATCAAAGTCATCGCGTTTTTTTGATGTCGCTTGTATACGATGCACAGGCCTACGGTTGTGTAACCAATACATAAATGCATCAACATTGCAAAATTCGATTCGCACCAAAATCGGTCGGCTTGCTATATTTTGTCCAAACAGTTTTGATACACGATCTATATATTTATACACGTAAAATATGCTCTTATTTTTCGAGCATTCTTTTGCGGTCGAACGGCAGATGTTTTGTTTACTGAAATAAAAAAAAATGATATAAAAAATGAAGTAAATGCAAAATGTTGTGTCAGATGACATGGACAAAGAGACGCCAAAAAGGAAATCGAGAAAGAGAGAAATCTGAATCATTAAATGAAAGGACGCAGTCTGTATATATTTTGAGCGGTTATGCGTGGAGTGTTCGCATTGATTTTTTTGTTTCGAATCTTTCTTTCTCCTGTTCATTTTATTCATCAACATGGCTCTCAATTTTTCGATAGTCCCTACATAGTAAGTATTTGAAACCAGTTTTTCATGAACATAATTTTAATGGACTCAAACTAATTATTGGTGTTTTTTTTACAAAAACAAAACCATCTGAAATCATTAAAGGAGTTTGTTATGCTTTCTTTGATAACTTAAGGTGATTTTATTTTTTTTCAACATTCTTGTCAGCATTTTGTTAACGGATTTAAATAATGATTTCTTCTTTCTATCTCACATAGTATTTTCGCCAAGCTGTTAATATTCGCAATGCTTAGAACTAGCTTGGCATTGCGAATGAGATTTTTTTTTCGTTTTCAGTTTCTCATCGGCTCAATGTTAAATGTAGGTTATTTGGAAACGAACAAATTAAAAAAGAGAATAAGACACACGCACATATACACGTAAAGCAGCAACAAAATAAATTAGAAAAACAAATGAGCAACGCGCTGTTCAGTGGATGAATCGTCAAAAAAAAACAATATAAAGTCACCTTTTAGATATTTTTGGCAAACGTAACACCTGACATCGCTTTGGAATGGTAAGAACAATATTTGCATTGCCTTCGGCTCGATAGTCTATGTCGTTGCGGCAAACATCGAATGTGTCAATGACGCGTGTTACATAATCAATTGTAGAAGTGACGGTTCCTGCCGTTGACGATGATGATGATGATGATGATAATTCTGTAGTTTGTGAGTCCAATTCCAAAATATAGATTTTTAATCGAAAATCCAATTGACCAGGTGCCATATTTTGTTGTATTCCATAAGACTATATTCCATATGTCTTAGAATGTCTTCAGTTGATATGCTTCATTTTTGCCGTCATTCATCCTATTATTATTAAGAAGAGAATTAAAAATATTTTTTATATTTTGATGCAAAAGGTTAATTCGTTTAAATAATATTTACTACTTAACGAACTTAATTTTGAAAAAAAAAAAAAAATGTGGATAGCAAAATATTGAATATCATTGCTAAATGGCATTGAGGCTGAAAATTCGCATCGACTTGAATTGGGCTACTTCACAAGAGCGATAGAGATTAATTATTGTTTGTTAGTTGGAATCTTCCTAATATATATATATAAATCAATGTTTTTGAGTTCGAAAAACACGTAAAATAAGAGCAATCGACAGAAACAAACAAGTTGAGTATGTTTCGCCAGCTCGGAAATGAGAATCCTTAATAATGGAAGAGAACCAACAATGCAAGGTAATATGGGTACATTTGAAACCCATATAGGCATATGCGAATAAAGGCAAAGTACAGTAAATGAGTGAAAAATAATGAGTTGTCGTAGGCTTCGAATCTGATTAGTGCTTCAGTAATAAATGGAACGGTGATTATAAAATCGGTCGTTATGTTGAATTACGAACACTTAACATATATATATAAAGTCCAATAAGAACATATATAAAATGCGTAAAAAAAATTATGTACATTTATGATGATTTATGGTGTTCATCGGTGTACATTCGCACTGATGATCATGTATGTATGCGATGACAGAAACAATTGTAACTCTCATTGCATGGCGAGATCAGGGTCAATTCATGGCTACGAATACGAATGCAAAATTGCAAAACAACCGTTTATATAGCTTTATCGAAATAAATTTGTTTTGAACGCATGTACAATGTATAATGTATTACATAGGCACATTAATCCAAGGGTCCATGCTTTTGATTTGTGTGCCAGTAATTTACGAATTTAAAAATGTCTATCAAGCAGATAAAAGCCAACATTGAGTAATTGAGAAAAAAAGAGAACGAAAGAGACCGATAGACAGACAGACCGAAACAGAGAATCATGCTAAAAATATCGTTTCATTTCAAATCAACCAATTTTGTCGAGACCAATCTTCCATGAATTCGCTCATATGTTTCTCATTGGAGGACGACTCTCTGAGTTAATATGCTTGAACAATTTCAACCAAAACAATTGTTGATTGAATTGGCAACAAAGAACGTTGTTTTGGTAACAAGCGCATAGAATTGAATTAAATTACGTAGAAAAAAATCTACAGATTTTCTTTGAAAAGTTTCCGTCAAGGATCTTATGGTCGTCATTCCAAACAGGACGAACAACAATTTGTGGATTATTACATTGACGCAATACTCACGTGGATTTGATTTTTTCTATTTCTATGAAGAATTGAATAATACCGACCAAAGTTTATTATTTTGAGATGTACTGCACGTGTCATCCACTGGTGATCTGGTTATGAATGCGATTTTTTTCCATCTGAAACATTGAAGCAAACGCGTGTTTCGCTTTATAGATATATATTCATATGCTGACAACATTTTATAAATTAATTCAAACTTCATATGAATTGGTTGGGCTCTTGCATATGTGCTTTCAACCCAACGATGGATTTTATAACTTTCGTCATTTGAAAACGATATATGCAATACGATGTTATTTGCACCCACGTTCATCATATATAAGTGACAGTAACATCACGTTTGCGAATGATATTAGTAGTTTTCGTTCATACAGCAAACACTCGACAGTTAGATGTCTGTAATATAACAATTTTAAATTCACTGAACGTCCAAATTCGAATGCCGAGCCGTTTACCGGAAATACTTTTTCTCGAATTCGGTATCTTTTTCGTGATAAAGTTTTTTGGATTTTTTAGAAATCTTCCGGCATTCTTCAAATTCAATAGAAAAGGCTCGAATTATCGCGAAGTTATATTCGAGTTTAATTTCTTTTAATTTTAAGAAAAGAACAGCCGTTGGGATTGAGAGCACCTTCGGAAAGAATTTATATGATTTATCATCTGTTTCGGTTTAACAGATTTTTGCTTTTAGAGAGAATGAAAAAAGTGTCTTTAATTGTATAGTAACTCCTCAATTGTATGCAAGTTATAAATGCGATTGTATGAACCGATTATTATTTTTGTTGGTCAAAATGTAGGAGGTTGTACTGTTGCAAATCATCAAATCCATCTAACCGAATCCGGTTTTCTTTGGTAGTTGAATTCGGTTGAATTGAAAAATTGCAAACATATATGGAGAGAAACGTTCGTCACATTGCTAATTTAACAATTATTCACGTGTCAAAAGACCAAGAGTCCATGTTCATACAATGTGTTTGTTTGTTCTTTTAGTTTCTTTCCTCTTCGGTCTGCCAAACATTTGCAAATAAATATTCATTGTTTTTCGTCATTGATGCATTCAATCATTGCCTCTAATGATAAAAAGCAATTCAAAATCAATTTTTATTGTTGAAACAATGAATTGTAACGCTTGTGTGAGTTAAAAACCACAAAATATACAGATTTGCTGTAAAACAAACCGAAAAAATATATGTAATGTATCGGAAAACAGCAACACCGACAATCCCAACACACAAACGAAGGCGAAAAAAGCGACAGCGAATAATGGCAAACTAAAACCTGATTTCCCATCGTGGCAATCTCTTTTCTTAGCTTCACCTTTTTTGCGTTTGATTATTTCGTTTGTTTTTTTTTTTTTTTTTGGTTTCTTTGTTCGGTGTCTTATACTGGTATTTTAGTTATTATGATGTGCCTTTTTTATTCGTCGTTCTTATTCGAGTTCTGTGTTCATGAAGTTTATTTTTGGCTTTGTACATTCGGCGAGTACCTGAAATTTTTGACGAAGAAAAATGTGAGATGAGCTTCGATAATTTAAGAACCGAAGATAAGCAAAATCAGCTTATATTGAGAAAACTCAAAAGTCATTATAGATATTTAAGGTTAAACTACTTGAAATAATATTCTGTCGATATTTCGATATCTTGTTTCAAGTACGAGAGCAGTTGAAACAAAAACCTCTCACTCGTTTCGGACAACCCGTCAACATAACAAAGATAGCTTTTTTTGCTTTTTTTTAAATGTAGGTATTATCAGTTGCCGCTATTATTTAATCGGTTTCGCAAACTATTTTGAACCAATTAAATTTTTATTGTATATGCTCTTTTGGCCAAAGTTCAAGCGATTCATTCAATGAATGTTATGAAAAAACTAACAACGAAAAGTGGAATGGTTTGAAATAAATGAAAAACAGAATTTTATTATAAAAATATAAATTCAGAGTTGAATCCACAATCAAAGTAAATAAGAAAAAATCAACGTCTGCGATGGCAGTTCAAGTTTGATTCTACTTTAGCTGATCGCAATTTCAAGATGACTTTGATTTATACCACGATATCGTAGTTAGTATCTTTCTTCTTCCAACTTCAAACTAAAACATTCAATTGCGGCTGATTAACCGCTATAATGGAAAGAGAAATGTAAAATCGTTGTAAAAGAAGCAGGGCACCGAGAAAGAAAAACTAAAAACTCATTGATCTCTATCATTGGCAATGGAAGCGAGATATGGCAATCAATAGAGAGAGAGTAGATAAAATTGCACTTTTGATCATAATATTCAGGTTTTAAGTTCAAAATCAAATTCGGTTGGTGTGCTTGGAGCGTTTGGAAAGCTAGTAGCTTTAATTTGATAAACACACATACACACACGAAAGTCACAAATTGGTGCAGATGAACTTTAATTGATATTCAAACACTGGAAAATGATAATGAACAACACTGTATCGTAATGCTCTACTTTGATATATTTCGATATGTTCAGAGTTTTGCCATGCTTAGCTTGACGGTATAGAGTTTTCTACCCGTCAATACTACAGAGGCAATTAAATATTAATTTATGCTAGCACTCAACATGCTTATTGATGAGATTTACACCACATACATTGTGACTGGCTTCTTGAACCAGATCGCAATTCGTGGTCTTCAGAAGGAGAGAAAAAAAAGAAACGTTGCAAATTATGTTTATTCCGTAATTTCGATTGATTTGTGATTATTTATTTTAAAGCATACATTCGATAAATTTGCGGTCGAACAATTAAGTTCACATTGAATGTTTCGAAATTCAATTCGACAAACAGCATCAATATGCAGCCAATGAAACATACACAAACTCTCAATATGGAATCAATGTGCGACCGTACCGAGAACGAAAAAATTAAAAAGATTTATTCCGTCACGTTTTCTTTCCATACAAAAGTAATTTTAAATGTGAATTTCGTGGGTAATTTTTTGTGTATACTTTTTTTTCGGTATGTTGCTGTTCACTCTTTGGACCTCGCACATATAATATATGTAATCGTTTTCAAGTAGCATAAAAATCGAACTTTGTACATCTGACGATATTTTACATTCGTTTAGCTGGCGTTTTTATACCGTTGTTGATGTTTTTTTCTTTGCTGCAGCATGTTATCAAATGTAAATATATAAGCTAAAGTTTAGCCGAACCAAAATGTCGATCGAAATGAAGAAAAAAAAACTGCAACGATTTCGAGTTTATGAATTTCGACTATTTGTATATGATGTTTCGAGTAAATGGCACCATTGAGTTGAGATTTTTTTTAGTCAAAAAATTACTATCGAGGGCATCGCAATTCGCAAAATGATAAATAACAAAAAACGAATGCCGATAATATTTGATTGGCAACAACAAAAATTCACCAACAAATTGACTGTAAGCGGTTGTCTTCTTTATTTGTGTGAACATAAATATGGCCGAAAACAAAGGCTGGAATTGCAAATTCATGCGAAACAATGGCCCAAATGACAATGAAGAAACAAGATTAAAGCAAAGCAAAGATAAAAAGGCTTACGTACGCAAGCTAACTTTTCCGCATGGAACCGAAATTTTGGGAATGAACTGAAATTACGGTCTATGTATGGTTGCAGCAACTTAAATTAAAGCGAAAACTGAATCTTATCAAAATAAATAATCACACCAAGTTTAAAGAAATTTCAATTAAAAAATAGCCTGTTCAAAGTTTCACATCATTACGGTACCACAAAGGCAAAGTGAATGAAATTTTTTGTGGATTTTTGTATGAAAAGTCTGTGAAAAATTGATTGTGCCTCTTCAGAGTCTAAGTTTTACACCGATCAATCAATGTCGTTGAAAACTTGAACAGATCTATTCCCCGTAGTGCTCAATCATCCCGTAAAGTCAGATTTTTAATTTCATGTCTGAGCACGAAACCATCGTGTCACCAAAATGGTTGAAAAATGATCAAAAAATGTATTGTGGGTACTCCATTCGGACCAAAAAAAACCTACTCCATTCGGACACCGGTCAACAGATATTGCTCAAAAACTAATCAGCACGTCTCCTAGTAGTCCCAAATCATCCTGCAAAGTCAGAATTTGAATTGAGTTTTTGGAAGAAGACTTATCGCGGTAACAAAAAAAGGAGGCACAGGACACATCACACACAGCGACGCACATTAATATGCCCCAAAATCATCTCCAATCGTAGAAAACCATAGAAAACATATTTTGGGGTGACTTTAATTTTTTGGCCTAATACAATACTTTTCCTACACTAGGTGTGCGGAAAAGTAAAAGACAATGTCGTATACATTTCAAACGCATGGACATTGGTGCAGAAACTTGGTCAAGTTAGTAATAGGCCGAATTTGCATCTATTTTATTGAGTGGTCAATCACATACCTGCGGTTATCTGTCAATGAGTAGCATGGCCATTCGAAGACTTTGTATTTTATTTCGCGGTTATCAAAGCATACATAATCATTTTTCAATACTGATATTATTGCGAATAATCAATTGGCTTCAATTAGAGTCATGAACAAAAAATAAAAAATTTAATTGCCTTAAAAAAACGCGCAGTCAGATTTTTTCGTTTCATACTGCGTCAGTTGTTTGCCATTCAGTTCAGCGATAATTGAGTACGGGAAGCTAATGAAGAAAGGCTTTAAATCACAGACCGTCAAAGCTTTGGAACCGAATAAAAACGATGATCAACCAGCATTTGAATAACATTCATTAGAGAATCTTCTCTAATTTTTTTTTTAATTCGGAAATACTTTAAATTTCATTCAGTCTCAAATAACAATCAAAATAAAATGGTGAGGTAAGACATTACTAATGAATCTAAATGGTAGAGTAGGCGCCGAATAAGTGTATATAAGTTGAATGAAGCGTTCTTTCATTGAAAAGACACAGCGATGAAGTCTTTTATTGATCGACTTGCAAACTCACAACAACAAAAAATATATATATTATCGCAAAAACATTATACAAAAGAGGAAGTCCATTGAATCTTTGCTGTTTGTTTTTTTACATCGTTCGTATGTTTAAGTGCGAGTATGTGTGCCTTGTCTAAATATTAACTCATTCAGTGTTTATTTCCTACATCTCATCGCACGGGTGTATTTCGTTTCTCGTTACAGAA